TCCTCCGTCTTCGTCTTCCCCACGGCCGACCACCGAGCTGCGAGCGCCGGCGCGAGATCTGGCGAGGCACGGTGCCCCTTCGCGCGGACGAGCCCCGGCAGCGTCCCCGGCGCGGGCCCCTTCGCGCGCGCGAGCTCCGGCGCGAGATCTGGCGAGGCACGGTGCGGTCGGGATCAGTGGACGCCGCCCTCGCCTCCGTCGCCTTTCTCGCAAGCGCAGCCGCCGTTGTCTGGGTGCTCCGCTCGGCTCGTGCGTCCGCATCAGTGCCGTCAGGGTCAGCGGGGGCCGCTCTCGGCTCCATCGCCGCCGTTCTCCGCCGTGCTTTCCTGGTGCATTTCTTTAATATGCCGCTTCATGCATATTTCACATCTCATCGCGTCGTCCTCTACTTCGTTCTTGCTTGCTCCCTCTGTCTTTTCCCTCACGCGTCGGCGCACCTCGCAGCCACCGCCGTCGCGGCAGCGCACAGATGTCGCATGCACCCCCCGTGCGAGCGGGATGGGTAGCAGCCAGGCGTGGAGACGCAGAAGGACGGAGAGATGACGCCTATTTGCGTCCCGTGAGAGGATGCTTATTTGCGTCCCGTGTCGGCTTACACCCAAAATGGGTCACTCGTTTGTCTAGTCTGTTGGAGCTTGTTTTGTGAAATAAAACACCGTGAACAACCTATTTTGGGTTTGGGTCACGCTATGCCTGTTGGAGTCAGTCTACGGACGATGACTGGCTGATGACTGCAGAGGATCTCATCATGGACGGCACACCCAGTCTCCAGGCTGGATATGAGTCTGATTAGTCGTCTGCATAAAGCTAAGCATTGATCGGATAATACTCTCTCTCCATCTTCAAATACAAAATATCTAAGTAATTTTAGACAAAATAAGAAGCCTAACAGAAGATCACTTTGTCCCTCACTAATTAGAATAGAAGGAGTAGTTCAGTTGTTACTTTCTTAGTTATCGGACGACTGTTTTTAATGGTGCCAAGTTTAAAGAGAACCTCAATATTTCTGTCACAAAAGACAGAGGACAGAGAGGGTTGAAGATCCAAAATACTTTGTATTTTGGTATAAAATTTGAACTTTGCACCCCTTATATTCTAGGACGGGTATGCAAAGTTTAAAATTATCCCGAATTAAAAGGGCATTCTGGATTGGGCAAACTTATCCATACATGCGTGACTTTTAAACTACATCCGCATTCATGCATGCATTTTAAACACTAATCTTGCCCAAAACAACTCTTGTAAATGGTAGCCAAAATAATGACATGCATGCATGCATGCATTTTTAAACTATGCCTTACTAGGAAATTAAACAAGTTAACAACCCAATTGACTAATTAGTGAGACGCAAGTTAGGGCCTATTTGGTTCCATTAGTCCCTGGACTTCACTAAAATTTAGTCCCTACCCTGTTTGGATCTAGAGATTAATGTCCATTACATCTACTATACAAAGACCAAAACGCCCCTAAAATGCACACCGGAGGACAGAGGGAGCACGCGGCCATGCGAGAGGGAGCTCGCTACCATGCAGGTGAGAGGAAGCGCGTGGCTTCGTTGCTAGGAAGCAGCCGAAGAGGGGTGGGGAGGGCGCCGCCTGGCCGCCATTGGTAGTGGGGAGCTCGGGGTGGGGGAGGATGTGCCGGGTGGGGAACGGGTCACGGGAGGGGCATTAATGAGAGGCAGGGGCTGAACTTTTGGCCCTTTAGTCCCCCTTTAGTTAACCCAAAGGAGCTAAAGAACTAAATCATTTAGTCACGGTTTTAGTCACCCTTTTTGGCAATTTGGGGACTAAAATTGGGGACTAAACTTTAGTCTCATGGAACCAAAGAGGCCCTTAATATCTTGCCAGATTTCTTAGTTGATCCTAAAATTATTTAGATGCCTTGTATTTCAAGACGGAGGACGTAGATGATAGATGATATCTTAACTTGGACAAGTGTATGCAATTAATTGTGTTTAGTTCACGTGCATGGATTCTTGTGCATTGTCAAGTATGTGATTGGTTATATTATAGATAGATGCATAAGTGGTTTCTCTGTGTCATGAGCTGCATATATGGCACCTGCATAGCTGGATACAGTGAAATTGGCCATTTTGTAGGTTATAACATGGATCTCTTCTAATTTATGCCGGGAACCAAACAAGCTTGAATTGCACTACGGGTCTGGATAAGAGACATCACAGATGATCATTCAAACCCTATTTTTTTTTTACTTCTGAACATCTTGTTTGACTGTTTATCTTATTCAATTTTTTATATAAATTATAAAATAAATAAATTATTATTAAAATATCTCTAGTGACAAAATAAGTGATAACAAAATAGATGATATTTATAAAAAATTTTTGAATAAGACGAACGATCAAATATGGTGTCTAGAAGTCAAAACATCACTTATTTTGGGACTGAGGGAGTAAGCTACAGGAGCTACACAAAACAAAAGTGAGAGGACAAACATTAACTACCTGACTATACCAGGATAAAGCAATGATCAATGTGTATCAAGGAAATGAGGATTCACAAATCTAATCGCTAAAACCGTGAACGTGTGCTGCTTACCTATTTGCCCAGCTGCAACTGCTGTTTGCCGAGGTTGCAGCTATTGAACTCCTGCTACTCCTGATGACTGGTGACTGAAACACTGAAAGGAGATGAGTAAACATGATCAAATCTGATCCAGCCCATCTAGGCCGAAGCCTACCAGGTGTGAAGCTGCTTTTCATGACGCAACGGAAAAGCTAGGCCAGCCTAAGGCCCTGTTTGGTTGAGCTGTGGCTGTGGAAAAAAGCTGCTGTGGACTGTGAGCTGTAGAAAAGTTGCTGTGGGCTGTGAGCTGTAGAAAAGCTGAAAGCTGTTTGGTTAAACAAGTATAAAATATACCTTTTATCTTTATTTCTCTTGAAACAACTATGGAAGAGCTTTTTATTCCACCAATTTCGAAAAGCAGAAAGCCAAAAGCCAAAAGCAGGGTCAAACCAGCTTTCAAAAATGAACTACGGAAAAACAGCTGCTTCTGAAAAAGCACCCTCCAAAAGTAGCCCCTTTGGTTGGGCTTTTGGCTTTTGGGGCCAAAAGCCAAAGCCAAAAGCCCAACCAAACAGGGTCTAACTAGTCGGCTGTGGCTGTGGCTGTCAGTTTTTACGGCTGATAAGCCAACTGCAGCTATTTTGTTGTGAGAGAAAAACATTATGCCATGGTTGATAAGCCAGGCTGATAAATTCTAAGCGAAGAGGGCTGCAGCTGCTGGTTTCACCGGATTGCCGACAAACTTATTGTCTAGACTCAGTAGTAGCTATCTTCCAACCAGTCAGAGGAACCACGCACGCTGCATCCCAGCTGAACTGACAAACCAAAGCAGCCGGGCCATTACTGCTTCTGAATAAGAAGTTTCGAAACAGTACACAAGACTGATGACTGAACAGCTCAGATAGGAAAATTAGATAAGGACGATCGGTAGGTACTGTTGCTGTGAAGGAATCATGGGTTGCTGAAATTAAAAGGGTGCTGCTTTGGTGTTGTTGTGCATCTGAAAACTGATGTTCTAGAAGCGCATTACTAGTATGCAGGCTTTCAACACAGGTTCTCCAAAATTCATCAGAAACGTCAAACCAAATTTAGTTGTAACAAAACTCTGAACACAGCCGTAACTCAATCTAGAGAGACCTTTCTAACAAGTCCCACCCAGAAAATTGAAGCTTTCTTCCAAATTTTAGAAATTCAAGAAACCCAAAGAAAAAGGGGAATTTTGCGGAGGGGAAACATCTAGGATTGCTCACTCATGTCATGGAATGTTTTGCCTTGAAAAAACTGACCCAAATAAGTCAAACATGAAGAACGGAAATCACCGAAAATAGAACGAATTCTAGAAAAAGAAAACACAAGAACAAGCGGATAGAGAACAAATTTGACTCCGATTTAAAGCAAGGAGGACATGGGTTTGGGTTGCATCACAAATTTATCTACAAGAACATGGTTAGACACCTTCCTTCATTCTCCCACTAAAAAGTGAAGAAACTAGAGCAAGAGGTGCTCAACTCTTTCTACTCCTCTCTCTTTCTCTCTATAAGCACTTGCTAACCTAGTACAGAAAATGATTAGAGTTCAAGAGACATTCACGACCCGCGCTTGACTTGGTCTTGATCCCGCCTTGACTTCGGTCAACATATCCTTCATCCCTTCCACACGCCCTCTTGTCGTCCTTGTGCTTGATGTGGAATGTGGATCACCCGTGGTTCTTGGCCTTGGTCCCTTGGTCCAAGCCATCTTGTCGTTCTTCACGTCCATGATACACCGACATGAACCTTTGCTTGACGTTCATCATCGCAATCAACCACCAAGTCTATCGACCACCTGCACATACACAATCATGATGCATGTGGCACCATCACCACTTCGCCTCCAGTTAGTCGTAAGCAAGAACAGCTCAACGGTAAGGATTTACGGTCCATGACAATCACTCATCATACATGATGACAATGACACATCTTATCCTTGTCATCTCACCGCGTCATGATTTGATTTGCACAATCTTCTACAGAGCAAGTAACCAACAAATTGAAAAGTAGTAAAACACACAGTTGAGCACGCAGCGCACCAAATTAGTTAAATCTGTACCAACTCTTATATGTTCTCCTTTTCTGATGAAACTCTAAAGCAAGAAGATATCTTTTCCCCAAATTCTATCACAGATGCACCAAATCCAAATGAAATGGCTAAATGCATTCGTTCTCCTATGTAATCATCCGGTGTGGTCTAGAAAAGACATGCAAGATAGACGATCCGGTCTTATAGATAGATCGAAAAGAGACATTTATATATATAGTACAAATTATACATGGAAAAGAGGGTGACTGCCAGGAGGGTAGCCGAAGGAGGCCTTCCCACTGCTGTAGAGCGTTTGGTAAATGATAATCAAACTGAAAATCTCACATCACAAGCACAGCATATACAAGAGATCGATCATCAGATGAGCCAGGTCGACCGGATCGGAACCATGCATTATTGATCTGAATTCTGAAATCCCCCAAGCGCAAGCGGAATTGATCTGAAATACTGTGTGGGTATGGAAATTGGAAACACAAACTGAGTTGGGAGGGACCGGACGGAATTGATGATCTTGGCTTCGACCGAGCTGGTGACAGATGCCTCAGACGTCGGCGTCAGCGTCGTCGGTCGCCCGGGCCGGAGCCTGGCCGAGACGACAGTGGCGGCCATGGACAGTACCATCCCGAGGAGGATGAAGACCAAGGGGACGAAGGCCTTGTTGTAGTAGTCCTCGAGGTCGTCCTTGACGCTGTTGTCCTCCCATCTCGTGTAGGGGCTCCGGACGTACCGCAAGATGTCGTTGGTGGCGCCGAACCCCGCACCGACGCCGCTGGCCAGCAGAACGGTCACCACCTGCACGCGTGTGTACCGCACATGCATGCATATACACGTTATTATGAATCATCACGCACACGCCACACGCCTGCATGATAGCTAGCTAGCAGTGTGCGTATATATGCATAATAAGCACAGCCGCAACGCGTGTGATGACATGCGGCGTATGTACCACGTCGGCGCACACGCTGAAGTCGAGGATGAGGGAGCTGGGAGTCATCCGCTTGCTCTTGCAGAGGAGGTAGACGGCGACGGGGATCTGCAGCACGCCGCCGGCCATCGCGATCACCGCCACGGCGACCGTGTACCTTCAGTTCATTTGGAGATCGATCACACGCGCACATCACGCACATACAGCAGCGACGGCACGGAACAAATCAAGTCAAATCAAATGAAACCGTTTGAGCACAGGGCCCTTTAGCTTGCTCCATCATCGACCACCTAATAAGCTAGCTAGCCACTACGCGATCAGAGGATTCAGAGGGCACGTACGTGTAGCTCTGCAGCTTGTAGTAGTCAACGCCGTAATCGCGCTTGGTGTGGTTGTGGACCGTGAGCGGCACGCTCACGGCCAGGACGGCGATCATGAGCAGCCGCGCACCCATGCCGGCGGCGATCCACGCCTTCCGCGACAGCGCCATTATATATCTATCCTTTCCTGCTCTTTCCTTAGCCGCGAGCTCGCTAGGGACGGCGACGCACGGACACCGCCACCATGGATGGAGTACGCGCCTGCGTATTGTATTTGTAGTGCAAGGAACGACGACCGAGGTGTAAGTTTCTGGGAAGCAAGCAGGAGCAGCTAGCTAGCTGCGATATATACCCGTTGGTCGTTGGGGCGTTGCTGCTTGTCTTTGCTCCCATCGTCGTGTCGATGGGGACGCTAGCTCGAGCTGAGCACCTGCTTGCTTCCTTAGTTTCCAACGCCGTCCGGCGCTGCAAACACTACGGACACGACATCATCCTCCGAGGAAACGCGCTTGTACTAATTAATTAAATTCCAGGGAAATTTCGCCCCGAGTTCGGGCTTCGGAGCCATACACGAGAAGCTGAAGCTAATCATTTTGGATGGTCGCTTTCGTAACAGTACAGTCACGGTGTGTGTTCGTGTGTATGGTCGTTTTTATAACAATGCAGTCACGGTACAAATTTGTTTAGTAAAAGGCGAAAGAATAGTTCGCTCTGTACTCTGTTGCTAGCAGATTTGGTAACGTCGGAACGGAGTCATCTTCAGATCCGAAAGGAAAAGTATGCAACTACTTGTAGGCTGCCTGGAGGAAGTTAAACTATGGAAGCTGCGCCTGCCGAAGAGAGACGCCAATCTTGCGGATTCCTCGGCTGGTATCTTTGCAAGTGCAATGTAATTAAGGGCCTGATTGTGATTGGTTGGGCTCCAAAATTTGCCCAACCAAAATTAAACATGCCTATAAAATTTGGCTATTGATTGGTTTATTACTAAAAAATTGGCACACCAATTTATATGGCCAAAATCACGGCAAAGTAACTAGAAACTTCCTCTATCTCATAAGAGAAAAAAGTGCTCACTACTATGTCATGGCACTCAACCAAATGTATTCCTACATTTTTTGCCCTAACTTTGGCATGTTCTAATTTTGACAAGCCTAAGTTTTGACTAGCCATGATTTTGGCTAGGCAAGTTTTGGAAACCAACCAATCAGGTCCTACGTGAAACAATGTAATCAACAAAACTTTTGCTTGACACTAATTAAGCAATAATATATTAAGGTGGGTACCCCCCGGGTGGGGGCTCCTAGCTGCCGAACCCCAACGTGGAACATCCGCAAACCCCCCTCCCCTCCATTACTCCCTCACATCCTTCACCAAATTAGGCCGAATTCAATTGTCTTCTTGGGCAAAAATTATTGACATCATCCCATATCCCATATTTTTTGGAGTAAAAAAAGTCATAGCTCCTAAACTAAGTATCCTTGCAATAAACTCTTCAAAATAAGACCCCACATGGATACATTTTGATAAATTTTTTAATGAACATTTATCTCATAATAAACCTGTATTTAAAGGTAATCGTCGAGCATCACGTTAACACTACACGAACATAAAAAAAACATAGAACAACATATATATACTACGCAAACATCAAATATATCATGAAATAAAAAAATAAACAAATAAAAAATAAAAAATATCCTAGAATATCAATATATACTACCGAACATCACAAATACATCGAAGAACATCACATTAACACTACACGAACATCACAAAAATATATCATAGAACATCATCTGTATACTACGTGAACATCACAAAAATAACCTGAAAATGTAAAAAAATAATAAAATTAGTGAAGTAATTAATTATATTCAAGCAAAAAAAAAACTACCGAACATCACAAAATATATCGTAGAACATCAAATGTATGCTTACTGAACATCATAAAATACATCGTAGAACATCACATTTCTACTCATCGGACATCACAAAATATAACATAGAACATAACATGTATACTACGTAAACATCACGTGTGTCTATAACATAAAAAAAGTGAAACATAAAAATATAAATAGAAAAAAGAAAAATAAAAAAGCATAACATACGAAAATAGAAAAGGAAACAAAAAGAATAATAAAAGACCACCAAAAAAGAAAAATGGAAAAAATGAAAGGAAAAAAGAAATAGAAGAAAAGAAAAGAAAAAGAAAGAAAATAAAAAAGACTAAATGATGACAAGAATAATAGAACAAAAAAAAAAAAAAAAAAAAAAGAAAAAAAAAAATAGTAGAAAGGAAAGAAAAGAAAGAGGAAAAAGAAATAGAGAAAGAATGAAAAAGAAAAACGGAACACATGAAAAAGGGAGGCGGAGGGGTGTGTGTGGGAGGGGGGTCGGCAGCGACACGTCGCGCCCCCCGGTTGACCTTAAAAAAATAGACTGATATCTTGGGTCGTGTACACTTGTGCTTGTATGCGGCTTGTGTTTATGGCCCCGTTCCCGCTGAAAAAACAAGTCGAAACACTGTTCCGACTGATTTGTTGTGAGAGAAAAACACTGTTCCGGCTGAAAAAAACAAGCTAAAAAAGACGGATTATAAGAGAAACGAACATGGCTTATCTATGTGCAGATATTGTTTTTTTTAACCATGGCAATTTCATTACTTGTCTGACAGATCGTCCGAAACTATTACAAGAACATCTCCAGGGACAACACCTGTGATCTGTTCAATGCATACATAACCCAGGGCAGCCAAAGCGTGGGCAGCCCTATTGCATTACATTCGAATTCTATTTTCTGTCATCGCGCTCAAAAGCATCTAAGGTCATCGCGTCAAAAGCATCTAAGGTCATTGCTTTCTTGACCATCAGAGCATCAGTCTCCAGGATGAGCCTGCCAATTCCCAGGTTAATCACCGCCTGGACGCCCTGCATGCAAGAAACCAGCTCGGCTTGGAATGCACTGAGCATGTGATTCAACCTCCCTCTTCCCGCCAATACCACATCCCCGTTGGGTTGATTTGTGACTCGTTACCGTTGGATATTGTTGATCTTATTACGGTTGCCAGTGGGTGGACCAAGAGGGCTGCAGTGTGACTGCTAGCTATGATGATCAAACCCGTGTGCTTGGTGAGTTGGGTAGACAAGACAAAAAGAGATAGAGATCATCAGTTGACGGCATGCGACGAGAAATGGTTATTTAAAATGTATTTTGGAGTATTCAAAATGTGCTAACAATCCTGATTACATCAGAGTATTTTTGGAGTAAAATTTTGTATGTTTACCTTCCACAATCATCCATCCCATCTGATTACCTATCTTAATGTGAAATGGTTATACAAGAAGGTTGATTGAACAACATCCAAGTATCTAACAGAGTTTAGCGGCAAGCAATTTACGGGCAATAGATTTATTGCTTGGACGGTAATCCATGATCACTACACCACAACACCAAAATACCGTCTGACGTTAGTTGCTAAAAGTTAACAATTACTGTTGAACGGTTAGTCGCTAAAGATTTCTCTCGCACCATCAGTTGCTAATACTGAATTCTTCAATGGATGGTCCGTCGCTATAGTTATTTAGCTTTTGCGTTGTCCATCGTTAAATTTTACTATCTAGTGGCGCCATCTTTTTAGCTTGCTTCCGCGAAATTTTGGCCCAAAACTTAGAAGTAAACCCTAAGTCACCACACCAACCCTACCAGAACCAAACATACGTGCCTCTCTCTTCTCTGCTCCCGCTGCGCCTCCACGAGCCGCCTCTGCACACCGCCGACCCCCGCCCCCACCGCCGGCCCGCCCGGCCGACACCCACCACCCGCCCGTCCCGCTAGGTCATCCGTCCCCACCACCCGCCCATCCCCGCCGATCGACCGGCCCCCGATGACCGCTCGCCCCCAGACCTCCGCACCCTCCGCCAGCCCCCGGATGTCCGCACCCACTGGTCGCCTGGCCGCCCGCCGCCGTCGTCACATCAGCGTCCAGACGCCCAGGATGTACGGCCGCCGCTGCCACCCCGCCACCCAGTGCGCCCAGGTTGTACGACCGCCGTTCTGAAGGTAAACTAGCCACAGTTCCCTGAGTTCATCCTTTTTTTGGGGTCCGGGGTTCCATGTGCAATGGATGGAAAATAACATTCGATGTGCAGGATCTAATTTTGGGTTCCTGAGTTTGTCCTCTTTTTTTTGGGGGGAAATTGTTTTCAGCCTCAAACTTGCTAGCACCTAGCAGGATCTATTTTCATAGGTCACGTATGGCTCCAATACATGTGAATTTCGTGTACAAATATATGCTATTGCTAGTGTAATCAGCTATATGCTGCTATTATATCACAGATGTGGTGTTGTACAATTATTCTCTCATTTTGTTTCGGGGAAAGAAAAAGAAATTGTCAAAATCTGGTAAATCGACAAAGAGCACGCCTACTAAGGGTAGTGATTCTTTTGGTGATGTGGTGGATGATGATACAACCTTACAGCAGGTATTGTGATTCACGAATACACCATGAAAACAATATTAACCCTAGAATGGCGCTCAAATCCTAAACGTTTGTGCTAAGTTTTCATTGTATGCTTTGGTTAGCACTTTAACAATGCTAATATACAGGCAATTGCTTTAACAATTCCTTTAGTAACAACAACAGGGGTCCGTCGCTATAACATTTAGCAATTGACTGTCCGTCGCTGTATAGGCCCTTTAGCAACTCCAAAGTAGTCGCTGTTTTAAGGTTGTGGTGTAGTGGATAGTGACTCCCGGATATCATAACTAATGGTAGAAGCAAGCAATTTAGAAGCAAACTAAATTCAATGGCTATTATCTTACAAAATCAATGATAGGTTATTTTGTGTTTGTCCTCTTTTTTTTGTTGTTTTCAGCGCCGATCTATCCGTCACGTGGCTCGAATAATGTAGAATTTCATGTACAAATATATGCTATTGCTAGGAGGTTGTTGAATTTACAACTCTCATTTTGAGGCCCCAAAAGAAATTGTCAGCGCGCACGTAGCAACTCCTCTCTAGGATCTTTACGCTGAGTTACACACACCTTCCCAGTACAATGCATTCCAGACAACACAATCACATACACACTCCAGTCTCCCACTCATTTCTGAAACATTGTTGACAACAAAATAGGATTCAGGAACATAAAATTACCACTGAGCCTAAT